GGGGCCCCGGCAAAGATACCATCGGCAAAGAAGGACGCTCCGGCCTACAAAACCACGGCGCCGATCTACGACGAGAAGGTAGCAGCCGAGGTCTACAACAGGGCGATGGCCACTCAGGTGACGCTTACCCAGCGCGAACTACTCTCCCTCTCCGCCGAAGTCCGTTCGCAGGTCAGGGAAGCCACGTCGGCACGCCGATCACCTACCAAAGACGCCAGCAATGTTCGGACCTTCTACCAAGATGCCGATCTACCCTACGCCATCGACGATCTCGAACCACCGACTCGACCGACCGTCTCCTCCTTCGTCAATGTCCTGCACCAGCCGGAAACACCTCCACCTGGCGCGATCATCATCCCCGACACGTACGAAACATATCTGAAGAGTCTACAGCCCGGTCAGGTTCCTCAGCCGTTGATAGTCGCTAAAGAATCTTCAGCCCTAAGGTCCATTGTTCCCCTCGTCGATCACCAACAGGAAGTCGAATGCGTCATCGATCCGGGTTCACAAGTCATCGCCATGTCGGAAGGCATTTGCAACGAACTGGCGCTCATCTACGACCCCGAAATCGTCCTCAATATGCAGTCGGCGAACGGCGAAATCGACCGATCCTTGGGCCTGGCACGCAACGTGCCATTCCTCATCGGCGACATCACCCTGTACCTCCAAGTCCACATCATTCGGAACCCCGCCTACGACGTTCTCCTTGGTCGGCCATTCGACATCCTCACCGAAAGTATCGTCAAAAATTATTCAAACGAAGACCAGACGATCACCATCAGCGACCCGAACACGGGACGACGAGCCACCATTCCGACGATCAGACGAGAACCCCCTCGAGTCCTTCACCGAAGACAAGCGGGTTTTCGCGACTCGATGAATTGATCCGAGATCAAGGAGAAGTTGCACTGATCATTTCCACCGATCATGATACCCCCCATTTCCCACTTATCGAAGCGTCCTCAGATTTCCATTCTCCATCTCCCTCTCGTCGCGATCTTTGTCTCAAGTACATTATGGCCTCCGATTTGGGGCCCGAAAATCATCTCAAAAACAATCTCGATTCCGATATGTTGTCCTTATTCTCCTCAGTCGTTCCCAGTTCTCTCCATTCCACTAATATCGCCGACCCGGTCGCCATTTTCGCCGCCAAGCGCAAGTACAAACCGGTCGCACAGAAAACACGACCAGTCTTGGCCGACCTCCCCGAAAAGTTCCGAATCGTTCGGAACATCCTCGGTGACCCTCTCGCTGCCCTTCCGACGCTGACACCGAACCCCCCACCCTTCACGCCGACCGGCAGATACACAGCCGAACGACGCGACCTCATCGACAAAGTCCACTCGGACGACTTCCTTTGGCCGGCCGAACGACAGCTCATGCACCATTTCATGTGTCTACAAGAGAGGGGATTTGCCTGGGACGATTCGGAACGCGGACGTTTCCGCGAGGACTTCTTCCCACCAGTCAATATGCCGGTAGTCGAGCACAAGCCCTGGGTTCAGCGCAACATTCCGATTCCACCAGGCATCTACGACGAAGTGTGCCGACTTATCAAAACCAAGATCGCCGCTGGAGTCTATGAGCCGTCGAATTCGTCCTACCGATCGCGCTGGTTTACAGTCGTCAAGAAGACGAATAGCACCTCCACTGGCACCAAACTCCGAATCGTTCACAGCCTCGAACCCCTGAACGCCGTCACCATCCAGCATTCAGGTGTGCCCCCATATACCGATCAGATCGCTGAACAGTTTGCAGCTCGCGCTTGCGGCGGCATTCTGGATCTCTATGTTGGATACGACGAGCGAGGGCTCGCCGAATCATCTCGCGACTTCACCACATTCCAGACCCCGTTCGGTGCCCACCGACTCGTCACCCTACCCATGGGATGGACGAATTCGGTCCCGATCTTCCACGACGACGTCACCCACATCCTCCAGCCAGAGATCCCAGACACCACCATTCCTTTCATCGACGATGTCCCGATTCGGGGCCCACCGACCCGATACGAACTTCCGAACGGAGGCTTCGAGACGCATCCCGACAACCCCGGCATACGACGGTTTGTGTGGGAGCACTTTCAAGGCCTCAATCGGGTGGTCCAGCGGATGAAGTACAGCGGAGGGACCTTTTCGGGACACAAGGCGACACTCTGCGCAGCCGAAATCACGGTAGTCGGCCATCGGTGCACGTACGAAGGAAGATTACCCGACGAGTCTAGGGTAGAGTCAATTATGAAGTGGGGACCTTGCAGGGATCTCTCGGACGTTCGGGCATTTTTGGGGACGATCGGTGTCGTTCGGATCTTCATTCGGAATTTTGCACACAGGGCGCATGCACTGACTATGTTAACGCGCAAAGATTTTCCATTCGTGTTCGGTCCAGACCAGATAGCAGCCCAAGACGACCTCCGGTCGGCACTGCTCGAATCGCCAGCCCTCCGGCCGATCGACTATGGGTCGGCAGCCAACGTCATCCTCGCCGTCGATACCTCACAAATCGCGGTCGGCTTCCACCTCTGTCAATGCGCACTCGACAATCCGCGGGTTCGGTACTATGCTCGATTCGGCTCCATCACCCTTAACGACCGCGAATCGCGATTCTCCCAGCCGAAGCTCGAGCTCTACGGTCTCTTTCGCGCCCTCCGATCGCTCAAAATGTATCTCATCGGCGTTCGGAATCTGATAGTCGAAGTAGACGCACGCTACATCAAGGGCATGCTCACTAACCCGGATCTCGAACCCAGCGCCAGCATCAATCGGTGGATCGTCTCCATCCTCACCTTCCATTTCACACTTGTCCACGTCCCCGGCACCTCTCACGGCCCCGATGGACTCTCCCGACGACCACCGCAACCCGCCGATCGACCCGAACCCGAAGACAACTTTGACGACTGGATCGACAATCTCTACGGCTTCCTCCATCAGATCAACAACACGTTCCCCACATCCATCTCAACTTCGACCACCGCCATCTTCACCTCCTCACTCATAGGCGACCCCCCGACCGATACCGACTCCGACGACGAAGGCCCGACTATCGACTATTCGGATATCCCAAGATCGCAAAAAGCGTTGGAAGCCGAAGAACGCCTATGGTTGGTCCGCGACTGGCACCGAACATTGGTTCGGCCCCCCTCTCTCTCCGACTCCGAATATGCTACCTTCCTACGATATTGCACTGAGTTCTTTATCGCAGCCGACAAGCTATGGAGAAAAGACTCGCACGGTCGACACAAGATTGTTGCAGCCCCTTCTAGTCGGATCACAATTCTCACCGCCGCCCACGACGACGTTGCTCACAAGGGATTCTACGCCACGACCGCCTTGATCGCCGAACGCTTCTGGTGGCCGCACATGAGGCAAGATATTTCGTGGTTTGTTCGGACATGTCACCTTTGCCAGATTCGCCAGACTCGCAACGTCCTCATTCCCCCGACCGTCGCCACGCCTGCACCACTCTTCGCGAAGATGTATATGGATACCATGCACATGCCGACCGCCGGCGGTTTCAAGTATCTCGTTCAAGGCCGCTGTTCGGTATCACACTACCCCGAATTCCGAATGCTGCGACGCGAGACAAGCTCAGCCCTCGCCGACTGGATCTTCGAGGATATCCTGTGCCGATGGGGAACATTGGTAGAGATCGTCTCCGACAACGGACCAGCGTTCGTCAAGGCGCTCGACCAGTTAGCGAAAAAGTACCACGTTCGGCACATTCGTATTTCGGGCTACAATTCCCGCGCCAACGGCATCGCCGAACGACCTCACTTCGATGTTCGGCAGGCTCTGTTCAAAGCCGTTGATGGAGATCAGGCCAAGTGGAATCGTGCAGCTCATTTCGTATTCTGGGCTGATCGTATTACTGTTCGGCGCCGAATGGGTTGCTCGCCATACTTCGCAGCGACCGGAACCCATCCCCTTCTCCCCCTCGACATCGCCGAAGCCACCTACCTCCTGCCACCACCGACCACAACCCTCAGCACCACCGACCTCATCGCCCGACGGGCCATAGCCCTGCAGAAACGCCGATCGGACCTCGCCCACCTTCGCAGCTCAGTTGTCGGCGCCCGTGTCCAGGCCGCCATCCGATTCGAACAACAGCATTCGGCCACCCTTCGCGACTTCAATTTCCACCGAGGCTCGCTTGTCCTGATGCGCAACACAGCCATAGAAAAGGCGCTCAATCGGAAGATGCGACCACGGTACTTGGGACCTTTGCTGGTGATTTCTAGGAACCAAGGAGGAGCGTATATTCTGGCCGAACTTGACGGATCGGTCTTTGATCGGCCAGTGGCAGCATTCCGCATTATTCCTTACTTTGCTCGCAGATCTCTGAAGCTCTCCGACCTTGAAGCCCTCCTCGACATCTCACAAGCACGCCTTCGGGCCATGGAAGAATCCAGATCGAACGACGACGACGCTGAAGACGACGATGCCGACGAAGAGGACACCGACACCAGCTCCATCCGATCAGCAGAAGACGACGATGTGGCTTCGGCGACTTCCGACTAGACCCACCCTCCCACCCTTCGCTCTCTTCGGTCGGTGACTGGGGACAGTCACGATTTCAGTAGGGAGGAGGATGCACAGATATACCCATTCCTTATTCCGATTCATTCGTCACAGACATGGACTGACACCCGATTATTTCCGCATCTCTTAGTATTTTTGCCGCCGACCAATCGCCGACCGAATAGTCGGCACTCATTTTCCCCGTCACTCCTTCAAGTACCAAGCCGCATTGAAGACTTCTTCCGATTTGCGCAAAACCATAGGGTTTTATGCCTGTGATGACATACTGAGGCTTCCCCTAATATTCCAATTTATTCTCTTCATTTCTGCCGAACGCTTCGCTTACAACTACATTCACACAGCCATTTCGCCGACCGATTTTCCGAAACAATGCCTCTAGTCTTCACCGAACGTCTCAGTTAACTCAGGACAGTCCCTTCACTTTTATGATACATTTTACTATACGACAGAACCCTCGAAGCTATTCTACTCATCGGGAAGAAAGTCGTCCGACACCGACCTTCCCGAATCGTCTGCCTCCGACGAGTCCTCGACCAAGACAACGTCGGTGGACGTGGATGGACCCGCCCGCACCTCGAGCGACTCTAGCTCAGCCTGCCACATCGCGACCGATCGCGCCAGCGAAGCACGCGTACCCTCAGCCACCGCGATGCGGTACCGAAGCTCAGACGCGATGCCTTGGGCGACGATGGGCGAGAGGAGTGAAGAGTCGGAAGGAGCGGGGAAGGCAGCCGAACGAGCACGGGAAGGGCGGGTAGGAACGAGGACGGCCCTAGCCGTGGTAGGAAGCCGCTGGACCGGCTTTCGGGTGCGAACGGCTGCACCGAACAATACCGAACGATGAGCTCCCATCTCCAATCCAACCGAAAAATGACTTACCTTTCGTTTGGGCGATGCTATCCCCGACTGACCGCACGGGGACAACCACCTCTACCTTGCGACGCTTTAAGGGACGTTCCCTTTCCTCCGCCTTGGGCGCCGACTGCTCCTTCGACTTCCCCTTCCCCTTCGACTTCGACTTCCCCTTCGCCTTCTCCATCGGCATCCACCCGGGCTGGAAACTACACCCCTTCGACTCCCTGGCACACTTAGTGCACGAAACCAGCCCAGGTCTCTGGTAGCAACGGAACGCCTTGGTCAGAAAGGCGGTTGTACAGCGGTGACAAGCGTAGTCGGCCTAGAAGAAGGACGGTTAGCAAGAGGAAACGGCGGCAAGAGGGAGGGAACTCACCAGTACATCACCGGGTAACAACTCTGGCGGATCTTCGAGCATTTTACCGGCACCATTCCGCTCCACAGGGGACCTAACGGTCGACATTCGGCCCGTCCCAGGGCCGAGAGGAAGGACAACGCGTCCAAGAGGTGGCGTCCGTTGGTGAGCAAACTCGACGACAACAGCCGCAGCCGACTGTTTGCCCTTCACGTCGGTCGGGGCAGCAGCGGCGACCAGACCCACGCTCATTCGGTCCAGGGCATCGGTTGCGGATGCAAGCGCAGAGTCGGCGGACGGGTCGGGATAGGACGAGTCGGCGGACGGGTCGGGATAGGACGAGTCGGCGGACGGGTCGGGATGGGATAAGTCGGCGGACGGGACAGGATGAGAAGAGGAAGCGGCGGCGGAGGGAGAAGGAGAAAGAAGGAAGAGAGGGAGAGGGAAGACGGACTCGGCCTCGAGCTCAGCCAATTGACGCTCACCCTCTTCAGGATCGAGCGAGCCATCAAACATCGCGTCCACTAGCAACCCCCGGCGCCGTTCACGATCTACTTCAGCCGACTTCCGAGCCGCAGCAGCCCGCGTCGCCTCAGCTTCGGCAGCCTCCTGTTCGGCGACGGCAACACGCTCCCTCTCCTCCACTAGTGCCTGTTCCTCGGCCGCCTGTTGTTGCTGCAACGCGACGCGCGCCGCCCGCTGCGGCAGGATTCGCGCTCCCCATACCAGCCAGTCGTCAGTAGCCATCGAATCGAGACCACGTTCGGCCTCAGCGATAAAGTCGGCAAGTTCGGGCACGTCTTGCCCACGCGCCGAACGGTCGAAAACAGCCTGTCGGGCGTCAGCAGCCAGCAGAAAACGAGAGGAAGGACTGACTCACCACCCGTTTGGCGAACCCTTGCCCCCAGACCTCGTAATCCTCATACTCGGCAGCGCCGTCCGGGAGGGAGAGCATGTAGTCGGCGAGTTTCGCCTTCAGGACAGAGATAAGGGACGACATGAGAGACGAAGAGGCAGGAAGGAAGGCGATGAGGGACTTAGTCGCTGGAGAATCAACGATCATCAGGATTGTGGTCACCTGACAAAGCCCCGTGCCGCTGCGTTCGGCAGAAGCCGCGATACGCGCCACCGCTCTTTGCCGACACGACCCTCACGCCAGCGTCTAGTTGGGGCACTCTAGGTCTCAGCCACTGCCTCACCTAATCAGTTACCACGCCACAGGACTTTGCCAACTCAGCCCCGGTCTCTCTTGCGCGCCGACCCGGTCCTTTCTACGACATCTCCTTGCCGATTATTCACCTGTGCCACATCTCTCCCACGCACCCATTCCTTGCCACGCCACCGCTCATTGCCGATCCTTTTCCCACGTAACTTGCCACGCCACCACATTTTCCACGCCAATTTTTTTCCCGCTCCGACTCATAGCCGCCGACCACTGACTGGGGACAGTCAGGATTTCAGTAGGGAGGAGATGATGAGCATGCACCCGCGCTAGGGTCCGAGGGAGGGATTCGGGAAGCTTTGGGGAAATACCGAACAGTGCTAGACAAGTACCGAAGTCGCCGACTTTTACCGAACACGGTCGGTCCCTACCCGACCGACGACAAGCCACCGAAGGACGATTCGGCAGCACTTGGGTCAGTTCGCCCACACTTCACGTACTTACCATGACCGCACAGGAGGGTTACGATAGGTGTGTACGAGATCGGAGCCAGTATTCCGTATCGGCCGATGTCCTCCGTGAGTCGGTCGGTCCTTATCGCTTATCGTCCCGACTTCCGCATGGTCGGTCAAACACGATCTTACACCATTGCTTGGCCACCCTGGTCGTACGATACCTCTTCTTTATTTTTCATTGGTTCTCCAACGCCTGTTCCTGCTACCTACACTCGGGCGACGGATCCCGAACGTTCGGGATTTCGACATCACTGATTACCTTTTACCTTATCACCTTCGGAACCCATATGGACATCTCACCTACCTCCTTATCTTCTCTGATCGCTAAGGCTTGGCGCCCATTCGACATCTACTCTCATTTCAGGTTCGATATTTTACTTAGGGGCGCTGTTTACTATAAAAACCTACATACAACTCTGGAATAAACCAGCTTTCGCACCCCACAGTTCAGAGCTCATTCGCACTCGTCTCAACCATCGAAATCGTCTTCATCGACTCCCGAAAACTTGTCATCTTCGTCGTTCGGCCTTGTTCGCGTTCGTACTCGTCTCTTCGCTCGTACCCCTCGTCCTTCCTCGTATATTGTCAGAGTCCCGTGTGGCTCTTGAAGCACGTAGTTGTCGGTCGCGACACTACCTCCTCGTTACCGACCGAATCGCCGACACGACCGACCGAACGTTCGGTCGGTGTTCGGTGCAGTCCCGAAACCGTTCGGGCGCTATAATCTCCACTCCTCGCTGCTTCTCAAGTGCGCCGTCGATTTCTAAAGTCATCACTAACGATTCCTTGTGTAACAGAAACTAGCTCCAGCACCCCCTGCATTAGAGGTTGTTTTAGTGTTGTGCTCGGCACTTAGAGCCACCTCTAGCGTATCATCGCGCCGTTTGGAAGTGTTCCAGGTTTTTATGATCTGTCCAAATCTCGAAGGGGTGTCGTGCGCCTTCGAGGTAGTGATTCCAATGTTCCAACGCTTTGATTATAGCCAAGAGTTCCCGGTCGTGAACGTTGTAATTTCGCTCTGCTGGTGAAAACGATCCAGAGAGGAAAGCGACTGGGTGCCAGTCACCATCTTTTCCTTCTTGTAGAAGGGTAGCTCCATAGGCGATTAGTGATGCGTCAGTTACTAGTCGATATGGGTGCATGGGATCTGGATAGTTCAAGACAGGTTTACTGATAAAAGCTTTCTTTAATCGTTCGAAAGCTTCTTGGCATTTTGTAGTCCAGTTCCATTTCTCGTCCTTTTTGGTGAGGTCGTGTAGGGGGCGCGCGATGAGTGAGAACTTGTCAATAAAGCGCCTGTAAAAATTCCCTAGACCCAGGAAGGAGCGAATGTCGCGGACTGTTCGTGGGATTGGCCAATCTTTTATTGCGTCCACCTTTGAGTCCTCCATGGCGACATGGTCTTTTGAAATTGTATATCCCAGGTATTGGAGCTTTTCCTTGTAAAACTCGCATTTTTCGGGTTTCAAATATAGATCGTTGTCGCGTAGGATTTGGAAAACCTGGTTTAGGATTTTGACGTGTTCCGCCATGGTTTTGGAGAAGACGAGGATGTCGTCCATATATACGGTTATCTTCCGGGCTGTGATGAGCTCTCTGAAGATCATGTTCATCATAGCTTGGAAGGTGGCTGGTGAGTTGGTCAGGCCGAAAAACATCACCGTGGGTTCGTAAGAACCTAACGGAGTGATGAAGCTCGCCTTCCACTCATCTCCTTCTTTGATGCGTATATTGTTGTATCCCCATCGCACGTCCAATTTGCTGAAAATGATGGCCCCTTTTATCACATCCAGTAGTTCCTGGATTAGTGGAAGGGGGCACACATTCGGGATGGTGTGCGAATTTAAGTGGCGATAGTCCTGTACCGGGCGTAGTTTTCCATCCTTTTTTCCTATAAAGAAAAATGGGGCTGCTGTTTGCGAGGTGGATCGACGGATGGTTCCTCTCTCCAGATGTTCCTTGATGAATTTTCCTAATTCATCGTGTTTTTCTGGGCTCAGGGCGTAGATTTTGGGCACTTGAGGTTTGAAGGTTGGTTTTAAGTCAATGGCGTGATCCCAGTAAGTGTGTTCTGGGAGTCGCTGCGACTTTCGTTCGCTGAAGATGTCCAAAAATTCGTGATGCGCCTTGGGAACTCTTTCCTTTAGATTGGTGACGATGATTTCGTCTTCCAGGTCTTGGTCGAAGCTGGCAAATCCTGACGGTTCGGGGGCCAGTTTCCGAATAACTGGGTCCCGGGTGGCCTGTTTTCCTGAGGGTTTGTCTGGGAGATCAGGTTCTCCCTCGTTTGGTGAAAGAGATGGCTTGTCTTGTGCCTTTCGTTTCTCTTCTGCGTATTTCCTTATGTCCTTTAGGAGCCATTTCCTTTTGAGGTATGCTCGTAGTCGGACACCAAACGTTCCGCTGTGATCGCGGAGTCCTACATCTTCCGATAGTCTTCGGAGATGTTCGAGGCGCTGTTTTTCGCGCTCATTGATGCGTGGTTTGTGCCGTGGCTCCACGTCTGATAACCGCCTACTGTATGGCGGTTCTTCCCTTGCCCTAGTGAACCCATATGGTTGTTGGCATTTCTGGGGGCACCGATCAAAGTGCACTTCACGTCGCCTCCATTCGATGGAGGGATCGTGGTATTTCAACCAATCTGTTCCCAGGATAAGGTCGTCTTTCCCTAGATTGGAGATAAACATCTGGACGCGCTCGGTATGCGTTCGTCCACTGATGTCCCGAATGGTGAGGTTCACGTCCAAGGCGGATCGGATGAGACCTGCTTTGTTAATGGTGTCATCGACGTTCCGGACGCGAATGGGGTTGTTGAGTGTATAGGTGGGGAAACGATGTCTCTTGACCCAAGTTTCGTTTACTATAACCCCTTCGCAGGCCGAGTCGATGGTTGCTTTTGCTCCAGCGTTTTGACTCCTGTTTGATACTTTCACGTTCAGGCGTATGGGGGTGATGATACGGTCGTTCATTGCTCCGATACGAATACAAGTGCGGGCATCAAACTCGGGTCGTTCTTGACCTCTCTCCTTCGCTGGTGAGGGAGAGGTCAGGAAAAACGCTCCGCGTGTCCCAAGATTACTTCTCTGGCTTCATCTTCTCCTAATTCTCCGAGTACTGCTCCGATTCGAGCAGAATGACTGACGCCTCCGTCTCCCCGTCGTCCGTTAGGTAGCATAGTGCGCTGCCCATGGTTCGTCTGGGGTCGTCCGGATGGGGTAGAGTGAGGACGTTCCATCGAAGGACCAGGTTGTGGTACCCGCTGGTTGTTGCGATGAACATCCTCTGTCTCCATTCCTCGATATATTCCCGCTTGGTTTCCCATAGCGGGTGCGTCGTCTTCTCCCTCCAAATCAACCGCGCGGTTTCCTCTCCCTGTCGTACCCAAGCGTCTTTTCGAGTTTCCTCGAACTGGTGGAACGCCTCTACGAGCGGATCGGCAGTCAGCGCTATAATGTCCCCTGCGCCCGCAGTTATAACATTTTGGTTGCTTGCCGTCAAACTTTCTCTTTTGACTTTCGGCATTACGCTTCCTGGTGGCGTCGATGTCCATGTCTACCACCTGGTTATTCATTCTTCGAGGGGCGTTTGTGGAATTGTAGCGGGGAGAGATTTGGTTATGGAAACGATTCAGATAATCGCTTCGAAAGGAGGTGGAGTTGGCGAGGATGGCCTTTTGAGCGGTTCTGGCTCGCAGTCGTCCATCTATTTCGCAGGCTGTATTGATCCAGTCCTGAATAGTATCCTTTGGCTGAACTTCCTTGTCATATATTTTGTCCATGACGCGCGGGTCTAACCCGCGTTGGAAGTAAGGGACCTGCTCTTTATCGGAGATGTCGGCATCGGCGGCAATGAGAATGAATTGGTTGGAGTATTCATCAACCGTCATTCGTCCTTGGGAGAAGGCCATGAGTGCGCTTCGCGCTTTGTCGGTTTTGCCCGTCTCCCTGAACTGTAATTTGAACTTGGCTAAAAAGTCCTTCCAGGTGCCTAGATCGGTAGGTGGGTCTGCTCCTACTGATTTGAGGAGGAAGTTCTCCGCCCAAGCTCCCGCCGTGCCGTATCTCATGCATGAGAGCACAAGGGATATCTTGTCTTGATCGGTCTTGTACCGATCGGATTCTGCTGCGAAAAGAAGGAGGCATTGGAGCATGAATTTCTGGGATTCAATGCGGTCGCCTGTGTAATTGTCTGGGAGTTTGACTTTTCCTCTTCCGGGTTGTACTGTCGCGGAAGGGGTGTTTGTAGAAGTCGAAGCTTGTCCCGACATTTCGGCGAGTGGTTCGTTTCGGGTGTTGATCGGTGTTTGGTCTGGTGAGTCGGAGTCTGATTCCGAGGTTGTTTCCTCTTGCTCCGAGTCTTCGGGGATTACCGGCGCCGGTTCCCTGTATTGTGGGGCTAGTTCCCACTGAGCTTCTGTCTCGTTCCAAATATCCTCTTCTTCTGTTCCGTCTTCAAGTGTGAAGTAATAACGCCCGTTTCGGTATGAGCAGTTATCGTAATTCGGAGGGGCAGTTCCGTTATTGTCTTCGTAGACCCAGAAGTCCCCTTCGCGCCGGATAGGGCGATTGTTGTGACGGAGTTGGTTATTGATAAGTCTAGTGCCGGGTGGGTATTCCTGGCCTAGGTCTTGCTCCAGAGTGTGTGCAGTAACGCTTTCTCAATGGGGGTCTATATCCCCACTGAGCAAGGTTATGAGAGAGAGTGTGGCAGCA